CGCCTAATTCGCGTTGTACTGCAGCCGTTTGACAATAATACGTTCAGGTTGGTGCAATCCACGAGACATCCTCCAACATTTGGAGGACTGGATGATTTGGAATGAAAGCACTATTGGCGGAGAATAATTATCCTTTTGGTTTAATTGATAACAATATATCCTTAGTGAGAAATTTTTAGGCGGAGACTATTTAGTAAGAGAGGCAAGTCGAGACACTTTCTCGTGCTTTAATCTTGCCATCATGTTTTCTCCCTAAGAAGATAGAACTAGTGAGAAAGTGGGAGATAAATATGAGCAGCTATCAAGATCCAGCTGTTATAAGATTATGTGATTTGTGGTCGACCCCATGTTGGTGGGAACTGTCGGCCGATCCGATAAAGATTAGCGGAGCAAAGAAATGTTTGTAAAAGCAGCTGGGCTAAAGGATCAGAAGTGGCGGAACACATGACGGAGATGGGTATGAGATAGAATTGTCTCATACTCAGAGATTTGCCGATTATGGTATGTCTGCTACGACTCGCAAGAAAAGAGACTATGAAATTAGTAGATTAGGGAATACGTTAAATATGAGTGTTGAAAAATTTGAGCAAGAATTACTGATAGATGTTGTTTGACCTTGTTTTCGCAACATGGTTATATTGGTAAGAAGACTTAGAGGAACTCATCTAGTCCGGAGTCTATTGTCTGCATGATAATTTCCAAAGTTGAACCGTGGACGTGGTACATCCCCAAACGTTTCGCCGACATCATCAGTGAGTATCGTCAGTCTTAGTACCACAAAACAACTCATCAAAGAGACAAGTGAAACCCATCCTTTGACCAAACATGTGCTAAACAATTGTGGTATCTCCCCTTCTGCCCTGGATTATTCGCGTTTCCGGTAGCATCCTATCATACCTTCACTATTACAATTTCTAGCATATTTATTTAGATATAGTGTGGTGTGCTTCTTTGAGCGACATGAAACCTTAACACGCCAACTGTCGTTTTCTCCCCCCCTTTCATCCTTGTGCAGGGAATGTTGATCAGAGTCTGCTTTACTTTTATGCAGTCCTCTTTCCTAGTCTAATCCCAGTCTTTCTCTTGCTCTGTAAAATCTGTCTGCTCTACCCCTTGTTCACTCGGCTCCTGCCATCACATCTGTCCTACTTGAGGCGTTATTCACCCTCTCCTGCGCCTGGGTGATTAATTCGAGGCACAAGCCTCTGAGTGCCATGGTCACCCCTTTGCTACATGTACAGCTTCTCTGGTAAAACAGACCTATCGTCAGCCAACTAGCTCCAGTCCCACCGTCTCTATTCTGTTTATATCCCTAATATCAAGTCCATGATTTGACATGCCCTAGTCTCTTGTCTTCCAACCCACAAATGTTGTGGTACAGCTTGTTTCGATTTGGTTCAATGTTCAACCACATCATTTGTGAGTTGGAACACAATAGCCTAGAGCATAGGAAGTAATAGGCTTGGTATTATAGATAGAAAGAGGATAGAAACAGTGAAAGCTAGAGCTGGTTGGCTAACAATAGTCGTGATTCAAGGACCACGTTTAAGATCAAACACGTCTAGTGTTAGCCAAGCAGCTTTAGGCTTCACCTCGTCTTACCTTTTTCTATCTATAATACCTTGAATATAACTTCTTATGTCCTAGTCTCTTGTGTGCCAACCCAAAAATATCGTGGTTCTATTAGTTTTGATAAAGCTCACCTAAGATGTATCTTTTCTCATCCCCTTGCGATAGCTTTTCTTAAAATTAAGGATATTAACTTGTTCCAATTGTCTTCTTTTTGCTGATCTTCCTGTTGCCTGGTCTTCTCCTAGTTTGTTTAGGCAATATGGAAAGTTTTCGCTGATCCTGCCTTCTTCAATCTCTTGTTCATTAGATTTATCTCAGTCAGTATATCAATGGCCTCTCAGATCTTGCATTTTCTCATATTTTTATCATATCCAGCCAACCTATCGGTCGATTTCATGCCCCGTCCGTGCAATGTGCTCCGTAATTTGTGATCTTTGTGTATCCATGTTCCTACAGTCTTTGATGTTCCTTGATTCGTAGGCCGATTTTTCTTCTTGTTTCCTCGATATACTTCTGCTCAATGTTGCTGCATTTGATGCGATAAACTGACAAACACACTATTTTATCCGTCTTCTCGTGTTGTGTTGGCAGACCGGTGAAAAGTGTTTTCTTCTCCTTTGTTATCACCTTGATATTCCATTTTCCTAATAAAGGTCGCAATTGTTGGCTCAGTTTTGATGAAGGCAAGCAAATCCACTTTTGGTTGTTATCCTCATTCTTGATCTGATTTTCATAAAATCCAAAGTGAAATCGGCCCTTTATCACCTCTACATTTTTCTCTATAAATTATCTGTGGCATCCGCTACTAAGGCAAATCCGTGTCAGTTTAATGAGATGTCCCAGAACTCATTGTCTGTTAGTCGTAAGCTTCTGATGATAAAACTTCTCAGTATTCCGATCTTCAGTCTGTAGATATGGTTAGACTGAAAATCAAGGATTATTTCCACATATGAATGCCTCCTCCTCCTCAGTGCCCCGTTGGAGCGCATGACTTCAATAGCTAGAAAGGATAGTCGCACATCCTCCTCCACCTACATAGTAAATTTAATTCTTTCATTAAGTTGGTTAATGAAATTGAGGAATTCATTTATATTTTCCTTACCAGGTGACCAAAGGGCAAAATAGTCATCCAAGTATTGCATAAGCACTCTTGGTTGCAGTGGTGACTTCTCGAATTCTTTTTCCAACTTGTCCATGTACACATTTGCCAAAAGGAGGTGAGAGTGGTGATCCTATCGGTAGTTCAAATATTTGCTCATAGATAATGCCGTTAAATGTAAAATATGTTGTCATAACTGTCAGGTTGATTAGTCG